AAAAAAAAAAAACATTGATAGCGAGCTAGTTTTCCTTTGGCGATAACTTGTTAAGCATAAAATCATGGACAGAAATAAGTAGCAATGACTTAAATAAATCCTGAAATAATTTACTGTTGTCTCATAGAAACTTTGTCTCATCCCAAGTTATGATGGACAAAGATTTTTTTTTTACATTTTTTACAATATTTTATTTCATTAATTCTAGAAATAAGGCAGTAGTAAATTAATCCAAAATAAAGAGAAGATGCAACTTGTAACCAGGACGGTCCAACAGCACGGTTTTGTCACGCCACTGTTGCCATAGCAACCATTCAATAGATTTTACATGTATTTAGTAGTGATTTTAGAAATAATCCCCAAGTTAGGGAACAATGAACAATTTAGAAAAGTGTCTACTCACGTTTATTGTTAGCTAAAATTGGAAATTATAAGGTGATGCATTTACAAACACATAAAATGCAATTTTTACAAGAAACAATTTTAGCTAAACTGATTACCTTTATAGGAGAAATTTTACCTCTGCTGGAGCCGGTGCCGGGGTGGCGTCTGCTTTTGGAGCACCCGTGGGTGGCTTGTTATTTGCTTTGGAAGAAGTATCTTCATTCTGGACGATGAAGCTTTCATGGATGATTTTCTTCTGCTGTATGGTGACCACATTTTCCACCGACTTTCTGAACTCCGCATTTGCCGAATTCAAATACTGGGGGAGTGTCGGCCTGTTTGATGTGGATAAATACATTATATTTCGGGTAAGTGAACAATAAGTACATGTGACAAATTATAAAAAAAAGTTTATTTACGAGTTACAGTTACTCGTAAATGCACCTTTTTAATGATACACAGGGTGATGCAGAATCTCCCCTTGTTTTCTGTTGTCTGATGACCCCATGCTAACAGGTATTTAATTAACTGTAGCAGTTTTTCAAATGGTACTAAAAGACGACTTCAATCAGTAGAACATTTAAAATACTCGATTAGATTAATTAAAGTCCAATATCGAATCCAATTGTACAGACTCTACTGCAATACGCAGGGTGTTTTGTACTTACGTCTGACCACCTTTTATCCCCATAATATGTTATATACTAAAACATTCCTTTAATAACAAATTAAATGCAATGTTTAATAGCAGAACATTATAAAACATCAAATTCGAGGAAAAAAAAACATTTCCCATACATTAATATGGACGTCGACACTGCTGCGATTCGCAGGGTGTATTGGCTCAGTTTGCTTACTTGTCTGATGACCCCCAACTTACGTCATACATCTGTGCTTAGCTGTCTCTTCACGTACATGTGCAAACAGGCGCTCGCGCACACACATAATAAAACATTGCAATAGTAACATCTGTACCTACTACCGATCTACCTTAAAACTGTCAAGACGATTGGCGGGCGGCATGGT